GAGAAGATGCTGGTGTATTTGACATCAGTAACCGTCGACGTCTTGGTCTGTCTGAAGTACAATGTGTACAAGACATGTACAATGGAGTCAAGAAATTGTTGGAGATCGAAAACGCTGAAAAACAGTAAGTATCAATACTGAAAAGAAATTTAGTAACAGTGTCCGTCTGCATAAAGGCAACGGATAGCACTACTACAGAGCTAAAAACGTTGAATTTTGGCTTTCTAAGAGACGAAAGCTTGACCAAAAAACTTATCCCTAGAACTTGGGACACATAACCTTTATTGAAATTCACCTTAATGCATTGGAGCTTTCTTATTTTGACAATGACATCCTTCATCACAAACAAGCGAGGAAAGCTCGCGAGATTTTCAACGCTGAAATTGAAATCGAGCATTCTCGTGTTTTATCAGATCCTAACTTTATGTTGTTCCGTAGATTTGACCCTGACAAGTTTCCCGAAGTTCTCAACAATCCAGAAGTGAAGTCCCTCCTGAAAAAGCATCTCAGTCAAGAGATCTTTAATGAACTGAAAGATAAAAAGACTTCCAATGGAGTAACTCTACTTCAATGCATCAATTCTGGTCTTCAAAATTTGGACTCATCCACAGGCGTCTATGCAGGAGACGAGGAAAGCTACACTCTCTTTGCTCCGATGTTCGACAAGATCATCGAGGATTACCACTCGCCGTACAAACTTGCCAACAAACATACTTCTGATATGAACCCGGAGAAGGTAGAAGCGCCTGATCTTGATGCCGATGGCTTTTTCATTAGATCAACGAGAATACGTGTTGCTCGTAACCTTAAAGGATACGCACTGACACCGGCCGTATCAAAGGAAGCTCGAATTGAAATCGAAAAAAAGGTATAGTTCCTGCTAACTCAGCTAACTCACACGTAAACTACCAATGATGGCACAAAGATATTACCCACTTTATTGCAAAGTGTGATATTTTATCTTATCGCCGGTTATTGCATTCCATTCTATTAAATCTATATCTCATATCATGCTATGCGCCACGTCATCTATAGTCAGTACCTTCCTACTTCAACACACTTCGTACCTTTCACTTCAAAACATAGAATAATTCGGTACCTCAGCCTTTATGGCATGTACCTCTACGCACAAAATAAGGCTGGTACCTCTCGATACCTGAGTACCTCACGGATTGGTGTTGTAGAACCTTTATTTTATATGTACTTCTCATCAGGGCCCATCCTATCTTCTGCTAATTATTTGTGGATCCAAAAGTCTAAAAWATATATATTTACAAATTATCGATGACCGGTCAATAGCCCACTTCAGAGATACGCTTCGCTTGTCAAGTACAAAGGTTTCAGTATGAGGCTCCATGCTAAATGCTCAGTCATTCGTGACAAGAGAAAAGAATAACTTGAATTTAGCACTGAGCCTCCAACTGAAACCTTTGTACTTGACAAGCGAAGCGTATCTCGGAAGTGGGCTATTCTAAAAGTGGATGACAACTTAGCTCATGGCACATGCGCAAGTCAAAATTTGTATTACGATATCTTATCGATTTGGACCCTTTGGATTTGTGGCCCTTATTATAAAACCAAACTTTACAAAAAGAGTCACCTCTCTGTTGTATGGTCGTCACAACACTTTCATGGTATTGAATACTGACACAACCTTAACTTTGTATATTCCTATAGGTTACTGGTGTATTAAACAGCTTGACCGGTGATCTGTCTGGGACGTATTACCCATTACAAGGAATGAGTGAAGATGTTCGAGAACAACTCGTCCAGGATCATTTCCTCTTTAAGAAAGGTAAAACATAGATATTCAATCTGTATACACCTATTTCAGTGCATGATACCAAGAGCTACCGAGACAACTATCTCACTGGCCTAGTTGCTAAGCCAGTGAGATAGTATATCCAACATTCACCTTGAGGACACTCCGACAATACAAACACCTCGCTATCGTGGACGGAGAGAAAATCCCTGGCCAAAATAGCGTACGCACTGATAAAGAAATGACCGTAATAACTTTCGCGACCTGATTGAAAAAGTAATTACTGTCCTTTGATCTGAAGAGAACGTTTCAGTGTGGCAGTTATCCCTTGCTTTTGTCGATCCTATAAAATGGCCCCAGTACCTCGTGGCTTAATGTAAGACATAATTGGGTATATTTTTTCTCAAACAATGTCACAAAATGCCATTCCTCTGATTATTTTCCCCTACTTTATCACTTAAAGGTGATAGATTTTTAGAAGCTGCTGGAGTCAACAAGGAGTGGCCTGAAGGAAGAGGAATCTTCCACAACAATGACAAGACCTTCCTCGTATGGGTCAATGAAGAAGATCAGCTTCGTATCATCAGCATGGAG